CCCCAAAACCCCAAAACCCCAAAACCCCTAAGAAAAAAGATTATAAGTATTTATTTCGTAAAGAATTATTAAAGTATAATTATGATATTTTTTAGATTATAACTATGAGATTCTTATATTTTTAAAATTATCAAGCTGTCATTCAGCCGTTTACAATTTCATTGATTGAGAAGTAAACTGAATAAATACCACCTGCTGCACCAAACACTATAATACACCAATTCAATATTTTGTCTGTTAGACCAAGGTCATTTCTGAACTCTTTCATGTAAAGTAGGGGAGGTAAAACAAAGGCAATCATAGCAGATCCAACTGAGCCAGCAATATTTAAGAAGTCTGTGAAATTTGGTATCAGAAGGGAAACACCAGTGACTAGCCACACAATAATTGATCTGCCTATGATTCTTTTTACTCGTTACATTAGTTTTGTGCCTGTTTTAAAGAATGGATGCACTTCATAGATCTCAAATGCTGCTAAAATCTAAACTGGATAAGAGCATAAAGCATTAAAGCAAGTACATAGTCTAATAAATATTGTAAAGCCACTCAGTTTCAAAGATAAAACAAATATATCATTTGTCTCATCTCTATATGTGATATAGCAAACACTTGCAAAGACCATAAATAGAGAGATAGTTGTCACAATGGCTAAATTCAATATAACTGGATATCTATCCTTATTTTTAGCTTCTGCCCTTACATTCATAATAACTGCATTCCCCTCAAAGACAAACATTGCGACACCAATGTGACCAAGCATTCCAAGAATATCAAAATACTTTAAATCACTGTAGACTGCGTCATGATTAGCTATCTTGTCAAAGTTGTAGCCAAACATACAGATCATTCCAACAAGAGCAACAGATATACCAGCCATACTAAAGTAAGATAAGAAGGTATAAGTCTCAATCCAACAAATTGGCATTGCAGGTATAGTCAAAATTAAAATGTAAAATTTCTGATCATATTTGAAATCTGTCTCGGATGATATAATATCAGATAATTGCTTTCCAATAAAGAATAGATAACTGATGCAGCAACTAAGCTACATAATCCAAATACTAATGTCGACTATCCATTTTCCTAGACGCCCAAATACCACTGAGCTAAGTTTTGAGTAAGAACCTATTTTAGGATGACGATCAGCTACTCTCAAGTTTAAAAGCATAGTATAGCAATTAATCAACCCAACCACTGTAAACATAAGTATACCACCAATAATACCAGAATACGAAAAGGTTTTTGGAATACTTAAGTAAGCATTACCAAAGAATAGCTTGGCAGTATTCATGTAGGCTTAGAAGTTAGATGATTAGGCTTTTTTCTCATTATGATCTGGATCTACATCAGATAGCATCTATGAGGTTATATTGATTTTATCTGGATTTGCTAGAGGGTCCAATCCATCATTATCATGAGTGCCTTTTTAGTCCGAGTATAATTCGTAATTCTTAGAATCTGACATAGTTCTAGATTTCAAATTTATTATCCTTAAATGTTTATTATATTATATATTCAGAAGTATTAAGAGATATGCTTTTACTTTTAATTCTATTTATGAATTCAAGTTTGAGGGGTTTTGGGGTTTTGGGGTTTTGGGG